GGCGCCATCATCAAAATCGCATGAGATGACGTATTCTCGTATGAGAGCCACTCCACACTGCCCAGACCTGTGGAAGGATGATCATATTCAATTGTTCCTGGAATATCACCTTTCACCTCAGATTTCCCAGTTGATGTTAATATGGGAGGAACAATGACTCATGCCCTGCCTACCCCGAAGCAAAGTTAGTTTCACAAAGCACACAAAGGATCAAAAAGCCAAAAATGGAAACACTGCCTTCTGTGACAGTATGTTCTACTACTGTATATTTTATTGCAGTTTTTAGACTATGGACAGTCAAGATGCTAAGATCAATCATCTTCAGTTGGCAGTAATATTAAAGTAGTCCACAAGTCTATTGATAGAGTCATGGACTTTCTTCTTATGGATGATCCAAAAATTAAGCCTGTTCGCCTTGGGCACAGGCTGCTTCTCCACAGTATTGGTCAGTGCCTCCAGTGGCATTCACTGTTTTCCTCCCAAGCTCTTCCGTCTCCTAGGTTTTGCAACTGTTTTAGTCACGGATGTTGTGAAAGACACTAATCTCCTGCCTATCCTGCACAAAACGTGGGAAAATTCTTTCTTTTCTGATTTCAACAGCAAGATTAGAGTTTTAAAAAAATTAAAAGAAATAAGAAATACGGGTTAGAAATGGACACACTGATGGCATATGAATTGATTATCTAAACGCACATTTCCAGGCTGGTGTAGTTTGAGAACACTCAGCAAGCCAGAGAGTTGCACGCTGGTAATCCATCACCTATTGATCACCGTGGGAGTGCCTCGCCCCACCTCGACCTTTTCATGACTCTGCAAGGCATGGATCACCTATAGGACGCAGGAGTATCTGGTCCCATCCAGATCTTTTTCATGGCTCAGCAAGGCTAGGGAGTCTACACACTTCTCCTCATGATGTTACAGTACCTCCTCCTCTTTACAGTACGTTACACCATCATATTCTGCACATGCATCCCATGAAGACCCGTGAAATTTGACTGTGCATGCGCAGACTGCAAACTACTTCATTTTTCCTGACTTCCAACTTTCAGACTACTCTGCTCCTTTCCTAAAACAATACCCCTAAATCCCATCCTTAGGGAGCTACAGTCCTGACTTGAGACACCTTTCCCCTCACATTTGGCTACTTCACTTGGTAACATCACTGTTTCCTTAGTTTTGCCAATTTGTGAAGTTTCTCAGGCTTTCTTGTGACTCGTGACCTTGACATTTTGAAGTGTTTTTAGACCCTTCCTGAGTTTTTTATTCCTGTGTCTGATACCAAATTTGGGTTATGGGTGTTTAGGAAACAGTGGAGGTGAAATGCCTTTTCATAGTACTGTATCGGGGTACATAACACCAGTGTGACTTGATCCTGGTGATATTCAATTTAATCACTTAGTTAAGGTTTCTAATGATGCTAGTTTCTCCTTGTACATTCTGTTCTTTAGAAATGAGTCTAAATGTGGAAAATGGTTGTCACTTGAGCATGCATCAGAGTCATTTGACAGGCTTGCTGAAACATAAATTTCTAGGCCCCTTTCCCAGAGTTTTTGATTTAGAAGCTCTGGAGTGAAAGCCTACACACTCAGTAGTTGTTAAGTTCCAACCCCGAGATTTAAATAATAAAACTTGGGATTCTAAAGCAGAAATTAAGAAACTTTTTTCATAAAAAGTTGGACAGAAAAATATATTAAGATTTTGTGGTTCATGATGTGTTTATTTCAACTATTCAATGTTGCTATTGTAGCCTGAGAACAGCCAGAGATAACATACAGTAGCTTGTGTGACTATGTTCTAATAAAGATATCTCCATGTGGCTGCAGGATTTGATACAGAAGTCATAGTTTGCCAATTCCTGCTCTAAAATAACTTGTACTCCCACTATATTGCTAGATATCCATGTGGAAATACTAGGGAAGTTAGAAATACTTTGCATGTCTCTTTCAATCTTCATTGTATACCCAGTGGTGGGAAAGACCCAGTGTGAGGATCTTTCACTTAGGTGCTAAAATGTTTATTGAATTAATAGCAAATGAGTAAATCCTGAGTTTTCCTCACATGCCAATAATTACAAAAACAAAACAAAACCAAAATGCCCTGTACCTTGCCCAGCTGCAAAACACTTCAAAGTGTTCAGTTGAAACTATTCAAGTTCAGCACAGTAAATGCCAGACTTATGAACAAATTCCTTTCTGGGAGGATGTTCATAAGTCAAATCCATCTGTGAGCCCAACAAAGTGAGTCTTACACACCCTTGACACAAATATACACTGTATATGCTTTGTGTTTCTTAGCCATCCTTTCCACAGCATCACTGCTTTTCTTGTTTCTTGCACACATACTGGACTCTGATTGAGAACTGTGCTACTGTGCACAACAGCACAATGGTGACAGTATCCAGGAAAAAGGCATGAGCTACTTCCTCAATTTGTGTCTAAGAATGTTCATAATATGAGGTCCACTGGTATCTGTGGAAGTTTGCGACTTGAATGTTAAGTCAGGGACTTACTATATGCAAAAAGGCTAGAAACAATTGTATGGTAGGCCTTTCTTTTCCTTCTTTGTAAGAATGTTACAAATCTATACTTTTGTAATTGGTCAATAAAAGCATCATTCTGTAGAAAGAGAATTTATGTGTAGTCAGAAATCAGACGATTATGTTCCATATGAGTCCCAAAGATAGACCATACACCAGACCATCAGGATTGCACCAATGAGAGAGACCACAGTACCGCCAAAAGTTTCAGTGGTTGCTTTTCTTGGGTTGTCACAGAGTTTGGCCCATTGACATTCACATGGAAGAGCAGAATCATAGGTATTATGGGCCAGAAAGCAGCACTTCACTGCCAGGAGCCAGGAGACTGTAGTTACCATAACAAGGGGCAAGACTGCAGGCAAGTTGAGGGGAGTTGACTTGGCAATATTCATGAAAATATTAAAAGGACATTGAATCCAAGAAAGCGAAATATATGGCTTGACCAGAAGGATGATGCCGAATATATATTACTGAAAGCTGGAAAGAATAAAGAAGCAGCATGCTAAGGTTGGTCACCCCTATAGAAAGTCATGATCATTTGCTTAGATCCCAGACTTTGGCCAGTTTCAGACCCAGACACAGCTGACCACAGATGTAGCAGACCAACAGGGGAAGAATGCTGAAATACTGTGATGTTAATGTACTGTGTTCATTCCAGTGATATACCAAGTTCATCCCAGGAATGCATTAGAAGCTTCTGCTCTGTGTCATAATCAGTTGAGATCAAGACTGTATGGACACCTGGCATGGCAATGTGTGGATCAGATAAGAAAATCAAGAAGTAGCTAACACACAGAAAGTCTTGGTAAGACACACACAATAGAGGATGGAAAATTTTAGGGATCTGCAGGAAATTAGGGCTACAGCTTGAGGTTTATGATTGCCAAACACTGTATGGAGGTGTTCAGGACAAAGCCATGCCAGCAGCAACATAGACTTACATGCCTCATGAAAGAGTTTGTGATATGTTACCTGAGCCCAAAAGAGATGGAATCCTCAACCATTCTGCTAAGACAGAATGTGTCAGGAACTATCCATTATGAGCTGGGTTCTGTGAGACTCATAGAGGCAGAAAGGCATTCAGGTATGGTAGCAGCCCATCATAAGATTAAATTGGTACATCTGGGATCAGTACTGAGCAAGACGAGAAACCATAAGGGAATCCAATGACAGAGCACCCACACCTTTATAGGTCCCATGTACTTAAAGGTCCATGCAACTGACTGAAGAAGGAAACACTTAAATATGTTCTGTGGTTCAGTCAACAGGTGCTGAAGGCAGGCTGAAAATTGGCAGTGATTTTATTATACTTGGGATGGGAGGTGTGTTTTAGAAACTCACAAGGAAACAACACAGTTCAAAGTTATGTACCTGTTCTCGTTTTGTGTGGAGTTCTCGGTGGCTTGAGATAAAAAATATATACGTAGTCATTGATAAAGCAAAACAGTCCAGTAGGTTTTCAGGAATCTTAAATGAAAGACTGAAAGACTGTAAATGACTGAAAGATGTTTGTTGTAGAAGAATATGGATGGACAAGTGGGAGTTAACATCAATGTGTGAAGATTTTGTCCACATATTTGTGGACAACAGTGTCTATCACTTGAATGACCAAGGTGACAACGTGGCTTTGTCAGTGGGCATTAGGTCTAGTCTTAGAATTTCATATGGTAGAAACACAAATGAAGCCCACCCATGGACACTGTCTTATGATCAAGCTACTGATGCTGCTGCAAGTTGAAGCTGTCCAAAACAGAGCCCAACGCCAGTCTCTCTCTCTCTCTCTCTCTCTCTCTCTCTCTCTCTCTCTCTCTCTCTCTTTCTCTGTAAACCATAATCTCTTCCTCTTTTATTCTCTACTTCAATCTTTTAGTCAGCAGCAGTTAGCTGAAAATTTTTTTCTACCTCTGATGATATTTTTATGTCATATGTCAAATGCTGTTTTTATTTGAACTCAAATTATCAAGGAAAATATAAAATATCTGAACAGCTAATAAACTGGCCTCTTCTGAACCACTTTTGGTTAGAGAAAGACAGGGACTATGAGTCCCAGGCCCACCTGCATGAATGTGGCAGGTCCTGGAGAAGGAATGGTGTCTATATTTGATCCTTAATCAATGCTAGGAAAGTTAGATTCAGTCCTTCTAAAAACTACTGAGTTTCCACTTTGAACCTGACTAAGTTACATTTAGGTGATTTTCTCCTTTAGATGGCAGTAATGAAAACTCATAAGGTTTAGTGTTCCTCATTTTTTCCTCCTGATTTTTCTCACTGCTTTCTCTACTCAATAATATTTTAAAGAGCATCAACTGTCATCCATATGAAGCCATGTTTAAATTTTAACATATTTTAATGCTTATATCTTATACACTGAGTAGCTACTTTGAAGATAAAAATACACAATATATTACTTATTGTTATTCTATTATTTTGTTATGAAATTTTGTTTTATTTGCTTTTTTAAAAGATAAGTTTATCTCAGAATGGTGGATGAGCTTCAAGGAACGTGGAAATCCATTTCTTGTGAAAATTTTGAAAAATATATGAAAGAGCTGGGTAAGTCATGTTTGCTTACATATCATATCCAGTATTAATGAGAGTTTTGAAAGCACATAACTTGCTGGTATGAAATAAGAACACTTTCCAATTTTAGTTTTTCATATAGAAAAACAGATTAATTTACTACTAAGGTTCAGTTCTTTACAAAAACTAGGTTGGAAATTACTCCATGGACTTATACAGAAATGCTATGCATATAGCATATTCTAAACTAACTAAATAAAATTATTAATTTTAATAAATAATTTAAAATAAACATGTATGGTTATTTTTAAGTATTTTGTAAATATTTTCTCCAATCTTTGTAGAATCTTCACATACATCTTTGCACCTTCTGGTAGCTGCTTGGTATTTCTTTCTGTATGTTCACAACCCTCCAGTCTTTGTTCCCATTCTTATTGTGTCTTCTTTTCCTCTGTTGTCTAGCATGTCTTTTCCCTTCTTTTATAAGGAAGCTTGTTATTACACTTACAGTAGGTTTCAGTCTGAATATCCAGGATAATCTCTCCCTCTTAATGTCCTTAGATTAACTGCATTGCAAAATTCCCATTAGCACAATGAGTAATATTCACAGGCTCCAAGAGCACTTCATGTCTTGCGATTCTGCTTTACAATATTAATTCCAAGAGCCACAATGTAGTATTTCTCTTGTGCTATATCTCCTCTTAGAACTTTACTTTAGGCATTTCCGCATATGGAATACTGTTTCCATTGCAAACATTTCTACATGTGCTGCACGAAGCAGTATGTACAATGATGTTCGTTGCAAAATTTCTTGTAAAAATAAAACTGGAAGCTAATTAATTGTCAATGGCAGCCAAAGGGGAAGATGTATGAAAAATGCCTGCTTGTGTACTGTGTACTGACATGGAAAACTCCCAAGACATGCAAGCGAAGGAGAAAGGAAAGTTATATAAAATTAATGAAATATAATACTTATATTTTTAAAAACCTTATATAGAGGGGTGGTTACACAATATTATGATGTAATTAATGCCACTGAATTATACACTTAAAATGTACAAATGGCAAACTGGTGTTAGATCTATTTTATCACAATAAAAAGTACACAACAAATAAAACAAACCATATATATGTATATTTGCATATAAGAATGTAAATTAAGAGCTAAAGATCCAGAAGAGTCTATACCAACTATTTCATTTGTGTGAGAAAATTGTATATTTTTAAAATTGAGAGATGATTTATAGCTTTAATCAGATTTTTCAAAGAGTCTGCAAATCTGTAAGATTAATAACTACTAGACTAGAGAAACAAGGCTGCCTCAAATAAAAACTGGACACATTTTTTTCTGTCAAATCTGTTTTACTATATAATGGTAGAATTATTAGCTTGAGACATTTGAATTCATGCAACATTAAATCTGTGTAACACATCTTCTCCATAGCAAAGGATGATACAAAATACTTGAGTTCTTCAAGCCATCAATAGGTTTAACTATTTGTCCATCCATCTGGTTTCTAGGAATAGGACGAGCCAGTAGGAAGCTGGGCTGTCTGGCAAAACCCACTGTGACTATCAGTACAAATGGAGATGTAATCACCATAAAAACCAAGAGCATCTTTAAAAATAACGAAGTCTCCTTTAAACTTGGTGAAGAGTTTGAAGAAACCACACCAGGTGGCAATAAAACCAAGGTGAGATGTACAACTGTCTTTTGCATAACTTTCCTAAGGGCTAATTAGAAAATTTTCCAAGTTAGCCATAGTAGCAAACACTTTAGGCTAAAACTTAAGTCTGAAGATACTGAGCGTTAACACACATAGAAAGTTCTTGGGACGCTTATGGAAAGTGCTTACTGCTCAGTCCCGTACCTTGGGGCACTGATATCTGGGGTGAGCACCTGCACATGCATTTTTAACAACTTTGAATGAAATACCTTAGCAGTTCACATTTTGAGAATCATTTTTTTAAGATTACCATTTAGTCCTCTCAGAAACAAAAGTTGTCTCCTCCTGTACATAGAAACACAATGAATAAAACGTGTGTCGGCTGGTATAGGCAACGCTATGCCTCCATAACAGATGAATCACAAGCTCTTAGTGACTTAATACAATGGGGGATTATTTGTAACTCAATACACAGGCAATGTTGGGGGTGGAACTGAGGGAGTGTGTGTGTGTGTGTGTGTGTGTGTGTGTGTGTGTGTGTGTGTACAGGATTTCTGTCCTGCTTAATCTCTCAGGGTTCCAGGCCAAAGAAGTTTTAGCTACCTTGGAACTAACTTGCAGTCTCCTGGGACAACAAGACATAGGGAGGGAGAGAAAGGCAGAGGGGAGAGAGAGAGAGAGAGAGAGAGAGAGAGAGAGAGAGAGAGAGAGAGCTTTTTATTATCTCAGCTTGGAAGTGACACATTCAGGTTTCACTCCTTCTCACAGCTCCAACTGCAACACACCAGTTTACTCATAGTTCTTATTTTATTTCTGTTTATTGCTTATCACTTGTTTCTTCACCCTTGAAGGTAAATATCTCCAAGACATTAAAGACATTATTTCTCACTTGTTTCACAGAATCCAGTGCCTGGTACGTAATAAGTGCTCCATACATAGTCAATGTTTGAAAATGAACTAAGAGGAGATTGTTGATCTCATTGGAGGGGAATATCCTAAAATAAGCTATTTTAAGTATATCACATGAAAGGATAGTTACTAACTTAATATGAGATCTCAAATTCATGTTTGATATAAAATGAGAAGATTTTGATGAAAAATGTTTTAAAAAGATTTCTATGCTGGGTTTATTTTTTTAAAAACTACTATAACAAAAATACTGCTTGGGAAGGAAAACAGGAAGATTTTTCTTCTTAGGCTCTACCAGTGGGAGTTTGAATTAGCCTCATGTATATTCTGAAGTTGAATTTGCTTGTAGCTCTTTATTCAAATGATAATACCTTGCCTATATGACAAAAGATGGAAAAGATAGTTTCACTTAATTTTCAAGTTATTATGTATTTACTGTTGTAAAATGTTTTTCCCACCAGAAGAATCACCAACAAATTAACTGCTGGAAAAGTCTTCAAATAAATGGAATATAAATACCACCCTGGAACTCCCTGAGAGCATCACAACAGCTGAAAAACATTGACACCTGATAACATGTTAATGTTCAAATCTGAATTAGGTCCTGTTTGTTTTTCAGAGTACCATAATCTTAGACAACGACTCCTTGGTTCAAGTTCAGGACTGGCATGGCAAAGAAGCCACCATCCGAAGAAAGCTGGTGGATGGGAAGATGGTAGTTGTAAGTTGAGCTGTTTTTCACTATTTTCTCTGCTATTACAAAACCTAATATGAAATCACGTAAGTAACTTGTTTTGAAACAATAAAAATGAATGTCATTTTTCTCTTACTTTAAAGGACTGACGGAAAATATTGGAAGATTGCAACATTTGAAAAGTTGCAAAATACGTGTGAACTGAGGAGCTAAATAACTAGCAAGACTAAATAATTCTTTGACTCATGCATGAACAACAATAAACATGTGTTTGTGTAGTAAAGGTTTCAGCAGGGACTGAGGGGTGTGGCCAATCCTCCACGTTTACCAGGATTAACTTCTCATTATTTCACCAAATCAACACCAAACAAAAGCATGCAATGAAGTTTGAACTAGGGCTAAACACAGAAGGGCTGTTTTCTTGGCTGTGGATGGATGAGTTAACAGAAGTAAGAAATGATACTGAATTGTCCCCACAGTCCCATATTTTTTTATATCATTTATCCAATCCTCAGTAATCCTGTGGCGTAAGATTTACTAGCCAGTTTAACAGGTAAGGAAACAGATTCAGACACTGACTTTTCTAGGGGTAGAAAAATGTGGTAATATTGGAATTAAAATCCAGTTGGCTTAATTTCAAAATTCATACATTTTTGAGTCCTTTCTGCTCTTTAAGAGAAGAGTGGAGGAAAGAGTATCAGCAATTCTCCTCTTCTGAAACCTCACCTGCACCAACATTAATAAAATGATAATTTTGGACATAACATAAAACAGATCCAAGGAAAGATGCAAGATTTATATGGTAGTAACAAACATACCTGTATTTCTTAACATGGAATTTTTTTCTTTCTACAAAGAAGAGTGTATTTTGTTCCTTGAAATATTAGAAGAGAATTAAGAATGATTTTATCTTTTCTTATAATAGGATTATAATTCTATAATAAGATAATAACACGCAATTAAATAGTTTAATGAATAACCAATAAACAAACAGTTCATTGGGCAGAGCGCTAGATGCAGAATCTGTAGGTGTGGCTTTCTATCCCTGCCAGTCAGTAGTATGTGACTTTGGCTAAGTCATTTACTCTCTCCAAGATTCAGATTCCTCGCTGAAATATGTAGTACCTTCATGGAAGGTTTTCGGAGACAATTAATTATGATCAGGTACACGTATCAGCACTCTAAAAAGTATATCATATTAATCTAACAGTATTATTGTTTGTAATGATAGAGTATATAAAATAGCAAAAATGCTTCAATGTGGGCATTTAAATATTTCAATAAAAACTTCAATTGCAAATTATATGCCTTGCTTTTTATACACATACAAATATATACTATATACACATATAAATATATACTCTATATGCCACATATATACCATATAAATCACATTTATCTGTATTGTCTTCTCGAGATTTTTAGAAAACGTTATGTACAGATAGCATGTGATTTTTATCTTCCTATGTGTTGATTTCATCAGCAATATTGAAGTACTTCATCCTTGTTTTGTTTTCTAGGAGAGCTCTGTGAACAATGTTATCTGCACACGGACATATGAAAGAGTATAAACAACCTCAGTCTCCAGGTCTCAGCACTGTCCAGCTGTGATCCAAACTTCTGAGACTGCTGGAATAAAACTCCAAAGTGAAATACTATGACTGTTAATAAGAGAGAACCATATCAACAGTTTTGGTTGCTGTTAATTAAGTGCACCTATATGATATATTACTGTGACACTGGTAGTAATGAGAAGCCATGGGACAGATCCACTCAGTGCAGGCTCAGGAGCTTACATTCAGACAGACACTTCACACTGATTTTTTTCTTCCCACGCACATTGTGTTCATTCTTCATATTTAACACTATTTGAGAAAATAATAACAATTTTAATAAACTTCTTAAGATATAGTGCTCCTTACAGGTTGCACTTGAGTTGTACATGAAAGAAACAGGTTTAGACTAAGATGATAACAGAGACTCTAAACGTAATACCAAACTTATTACGGAGAATAGCATACCCTCTGCCACTATCACTGTAAGCCACCATCATGGGGAGTCTTCTGTTCAGTTTGCACCAAACTTCATGCAGTGTTAGGCCAGGGAGGGATTTTACAAACCGAGAGGATTGATCACTTTGTATTACAAATGGGAAACAGACCCTAATCAGTTAACTGTATACCTCAGTGTCAGTGATCTAAGGAAGAACTGAAATTCCTCAGTTACTAATCTCATAACTATAACAAAGTGAATTCAGGTTGGAACAGTCAGGAAGAACCAAGTTTACCAGGTATGCCAAGGGCAACACCACATAAATTAATGAAAGAAACAAGCCTCCTGTTGTCTCCCACATGAGTGGCAGGATGCCACAGCTTAGTCTAGTTAGGACATGGCATTTGGCTACTAGAACTTGTAATTTCTCACTGCTTATTTGCATGAATTGATGTATAAGGGATCTTGGTATGCCAGTAGAAGTAAAAAACATGCTTGCTTATTTATTTATTTTTGGTCTGCCAAAGTGATGAAGATAACAATGAAAAATATAGAAGGTCATTTGTCCCCCAAGCTGCCAAGGCAAGACAGAGAGGATTCCAGGCAGAGGCTGAGAGAGTTGTTATCCTGAAGCCCAGTGTGTGGTTCTGGACATGAGCAGCTGTAATACAGGACTCGCAGTAACAGCTTGCTACACACCATCCCTATCAGAATTGAGCTCAGATTTGCTTTCACACTCCCAAGGTCAGAGGCTCTGGGAGTTTCCGGAAAGCCCTTTAGCTGTGGTATTCGGGTGAGTTACTTGCTGTGGTAATGAAAATACTCACAGGCAGCAGGGACCCAGTGTGAGAAACTTTTTAGTAAAGGAATAATTCTTGGATTCTGTGGGAACACAGGAGGAACATCCTGATCATTCTCAGGAATACTGAGTGGGCAGAGGCTGGGAGTCTGGTGGACTTTAAAACGCTGCAATTCTACATGAGCAAGTGCAAGCAACAGTGAACATCTGGATATTGGTTATCATGATTTTATTTGTCAATAATCTGGTAAGGTCTGGAGAGATTTCAAAATGCACATAACAGCAACTAAAGACTTGAAGTAGAGCTGAACACTATGCCTGCCTACCTTTCCATTTCCTGTATTAAGTTGAGAATCGCTAAAATAGAAAGTCATTCACTGTGATTAATGGAACTGCATATGCATGTACCTCATCTATGGCTGGGCATCTGTCTAACATTAAACAAGATACACCCTTGCTCCAAAATGACACTGTCATTCAGGATTTGCTGCACATTCACTGTGTGCCAGTCCCTGCGTAAGAACTGGTGGGAGGAGAACCATCCCATGTTCAGTGCCCTTGATGGCCTCTGTAGAGAAGTGCCGTGCTGGGAAATGTGCTATTCAGCTTTCTGTCACTATTACAAACACCTGAGATAATTTTAAAGGAGAAAAGTTTAATTTGGCTCACAGTTTTGGAAGTTCTATCCGTGACTGTTTGTCCCCATTGTTTTGGACCTATAATGAGGCAGCACATCATCAAGGAAGCACGTAGTAGAGCAAAACTGCTCACTTCATGAGCAGGAAGCAACTCAGAGTGAAAAAAAGAGGCTGGGTTACACAGAGTGACATAAGACCTCCCATTTCACATCTTAAAGCATCTCTGTCTCCCAGTAGTGCTGCCCTGGGAGCCAATCCTTTAACAGATGGAACTTTGGGGGACATTCAGGAGCCAAATTATAGCAAAAGGCATCACATGGTTATGCCAATGTCAAGGAATTTATAAGGAACAGATTATAAAGCCCATTATTTCACCTGCAGAGAAACATCCTATGCTACTTTCTTGGTGGATAACGTCTAGCAATAGGGTAGCAGATTCATCAACAATGAAAGGGCAGAGAAGCACAGACTTACTTCTGCATGCTCTTACTTGATAATTTATCCCCTGTGTCACAGCCTTGGTACAGTTTGCATTATTAAGCTAAAGTTGGTAATCATTTCAGGATATTTACGGAATATGGAGTTATTCCTAGTGAGGCTCAACCTATTCTTAGTCCTGGAAAAGTTCTGAGTTTTTAAGAAAATCATATTTGGTGGTTCATATTTACCAAACATATCCCTAGGATAGAAATTAATATCACTAAAGTGAAGGTATTTCTGTTTATTTAAACAATATTGAATCTTTTCTATTAGTCAATGTTTGGGAGAATAATGTTCCACTTGAATAATTGAGTCAATAATAGACTGTAATGAGAAATGAAGTAACAATAACAACTGTGTTAGTCAGAGTTCCAATCCTATAACAAATACCTGAAATAATTCAGCTTAATAAGAGGAAAGGTCTGTCTGTTATCTAATGGACAGTCTTGGGGAAGTCATTTCCAGATCGTTAGTATCTCAACAAATTGAACAGGACATTCAGAAATAAAGTAAGATTTATTAAAATTATAAGAAATAAAAATGCACTTCACAGAGTAGGAATAAGCCAGTTAGAAGAGCTCACAGTCCAAACAGGTGCAGGCATTGAGTCTATAAAGAGTATAAAACTATGGGAGGATCCACATTTGGAGACTGACAGAAGTAATGGCCCCGTGGGGTTCCTGACTTGGCCCGCCCATCAGAAGAGGGAGTTTTTGACCACACAAAGATTTTAGAGTAGGTGTTATGACATCCAGAGTCCATGGATGGCAAGTCAAAACCAGAGTGTAAAGGAGGCTGGACTCATGCTAGGGTCAAGTGCTATAGTCTTTCTTTTGCATATGTATGTGAGGTTGTGGGGGAACAGAGTGACCTTTATCTTTTGGGGCATTGCTATTGACATTGTCTTCTTTGATCTGATTTCTCAATTTTACTCATGGCTTTCTGTTGTACACTTGTCCTTGCTCCTACCTCAGTTTGGCTCATAGTTTCAGAGATTCAGTCCATGGTCAGTTGGTTGCTTTAGGGCCGATGGTAGAGTAGTACATTATGGTGAGAAGTGCACCATGAAGTGAAGGTGCTTAGCTCGTGGTGGCTAGAGAACAAAGAAGGAGAGAAAAAGGTGGGGCTGGAGTCTGAGTATTCCCTACAAGAGCATGCCTTAAGGATCAAACCTCCTTCCAGTAGGCGCTACCTCTTGGTTTTCACTGTCTCTTAGTATACTACAGACTGGTGACCATGTCTTCAATACATGAACATTTGGAGGTCAATGAAGATCCTAGATACAGCACAGAATTGTTTTTGTGTACTTACGAAACGACAGGCATCGTGCTTAGTATTTCCATTCTATAATCCCATTTTTTTGTGAATTATTTACAAAGGCATAAACTAAGACTCAAAGAGATTAGATATTTTGCTTAAAGTTCCTCAAAGCGATCAATACTAGAGTCAGAGTCCAAAACTAAGTCTTTGTGCCTTCAAAGTCTCTGTTCTTTAACCAGGATGTCAGAACATTTCTTCAGAAATAAGGATTATAATCCTATAACCCTTAGAGTTTCTTTTGGAATTCTGTGTCATAGTAAATATGGCAAGTAAATGCATAGTCAAAAGTATTAACTTGAATTTATGAAGCCTGAGAAATGCACCTTCCTTAAACTCTCAAGCTCTGAACTGATCAGAAGGAATGCACTTTGAAACTGAATATTTAAGGAGAAAAGAAGCAACCTTGATTAATATAATACCAGTGTAAAATATTACCAGTGTGAAACATCTTTTCCAGCAACTTGTCACTCAACCTACTAACAAAAAAAGATTAAAATCTAAAGATATAAGGCAAGAAGAGTTAGACTAAGAAATGATCTGATGAATTTTATAGCATTTATAAATGAGAATTTATGAAATAAACTGAGAATACTGTGTGTTATAAATTTAGCTCACCTTTATATTGACAGTGTAGAAATGTCACATAAACCAACATTTAGCAAAGGTAAGAGTTTGAGAATAGTAGAGTAAAATTTTTCATTTAACAGGTTAGAGAACGGAGGTTCTTTTGAAGAAGAAGGAGACAATATCTTGTTGGTAGTCATCCCAGTTCTATTTGGTGCTTGGTTTGATTCCTAGAGAATTACCAATTAAGACTACCAATTCTCATGCAAATGTAGACATGGAGAGTTAGCATTTTATGACATTGATGGATACATACATCTCAGTTTCCACCACCTACCCCCATTCTTACTCTTCAAGGATTGGGAAAAAGTTATGTCCTCTCCTGCCTTCTAGGTAGGCTATCAGATGCATCTTCTGGATAATGAAGTTGTCAGAATGGAAGGTATGCATCAGTGAAGTAGGTTTGTACTAAGCTATCCTGAATGCACAGATGAGGTCAAAAGAAACATAGGATTTGTTTCTAATTATAAATTAATCACAAGGTCTGGCTTTGCTTTGTGTCACAAATAGAATATTAACCAATATATATGAAATAGCTAATTTCAGATACTAGTAAAACAGTAAATACAGGCTCAAGACGCCTTAGGAGAGGAAAACATTTTAAAAGCACCCTGACTATTGTCCCAGCCTTCTGTCTGGGCACTTTCCCAATGAAAGTGCAGTGAGTGAGTCCCAAGAAGAGATGATGACCTCTCAGAATTGAGGAAAGATACAGGACAGTAGAGATTTTAAGGCAATTAGGAGATGAGGGCAGGATTCTGGAGAGAAAGTCTAAACAAATAGAATATGAAACAAATTCAAGGCATTTTTTTATCTAGACAGTATCCTTAGCTGTGCATGCATAAAGTTATACTAGAATCAGAAATAGAGAGTTCTGACTGAACAGTTTGCAGACCTCAAACAGAGCACAGAGTTGGTTAGGTTAAGACCACAGTATAGGCTCTTGGGACTCAGCTCAGATATTCCAAAGAGTCCTCAGAAGGATCATTTCTTAATGCTAAGACTAAATCAACACTAAATTTTAGGACTCGTTTAGACTTGTAAGTAAAAAGCTGATCTGCGAGTGATTTAAATTTCTACCAGAACGAACATCAGCATCTAAAGAACGAACGACACACATGAAAATGCGAGCACTCAGTTACTTTCACCGTGTCCATGAATCCAATCCAAAACTGTTATGCATGACCAGAAGCAGGAAAACAGGATATACATTTGGAAAAAATCTGCCCATGGGTGCAAACCCAGTCACACGTCTATAATTCCAGAACTCTGGAAGACTGAGGCAGGAGGGTTAACAGATTTAAGGCTACAGTGGGCAAATCAACTTAGGGGGACCTCATCTCAAAATTTAAAGAAACAAAAAAAGGAAAGAGGTGGCTTGGAATGCAAAGGCTTTGGGTTTAACCCCCAGAGCTACCAGAAGAAGTAGAAGAAGACAATCTAGAAATTATATAGATGATGGAATCAATAAAACATATAAATATGCTCAAATGCTGAAGGATTCAAGTGAACCTGAACATGTGAGATAAGGGGGAGTAAAACTATAAAGTTTCTAGAAAAATTCAAATATCTGACATGAACATTTGCTAGGTAGGATTAATAACAACTAGAAGCCAGTGAATGAAAGACTGGGGAACTTGAAAACATCACAGTGGAATTTATCCAGGCTAAAGCACAGACTGAAATGAAAACTGAAAAATGCTTTCGGCTAAAAAGAGGTCCCCTATCCCAGGGGTTTACCCAGGTAAACCTCTTTCTGGAGGGAGGAGCAACCACAGCTCATTGAATGCTTGATATAAAGGTGGGATCAGCCCAGGATGAGGTGGAAGTTGTGATCCCCAAAAGGGTACATACTTGACAGTTGGGGGGGGGGCATCCTGAGTGTGGGAGAGGGGAGGATGTCACAACACCCACTACACCGTTCTTTTAGCAGCCTTCAGTTGGACTGCAAAATGCTATAAACCCTGATATATGCAAACCCCCGTGAAATTTAAAAATTTTACAATGACCTTTTTATCTTTTACACAAGTCTTCCTTTATTACATTTAAACACTTAACTTATATATAATCATACATTATTTTAAAGCAAAACTACTTTTCTTGATAAACTCTAGGAAGGTAGAAATTTTTGGTTTCAATCCTCGGCTTTGGTTGATTCTTGTATTCCATGTATCCAGAACACTGCTAAGACATGCTAAATAAATAACGAATAAATCAATGAATGACTCGGGCTCCGTTAAAATGGTGCTTCCTACTGTCTTCCTCAAGGTGGAGCTACGGACAGTCACAAAACGGGTTACAAAGGAAAGGAAGTTCTTTTCCTAATATACCCTGTAACATCTGATCAATTTTCTTTTATTATGTACAACTTCTAAGAAAAAAAAACCTTCTCATGTATTTGTCCCATTAGTCTTTGAGTTCATTTTCTTACTTGTAAGACTGTGAGAGATGTTGGATTTCTTACTTTTCCCTGTGAATATTTTTTGGGAGATATCACAGCTAAGGCTTACTATTCCCTTATTATGTTATTTATTGCTTATTTATTTATTTATTTTTTTGGTGCTGGGGATTGAACTCATGACCTCGCGCTTACCAGGCAGGCGCTTACACTGCTGAGCTAAACCTCCAGCTCCTGTGTTATTATTTATTGCAGAAAGATTTATCTGACAGACTTAGATATATTCAATGCTAAATTTTGCAATCAATTATTTGTTTATCTTTGTGATGTTTCACTGTACAGCTTTAGCACAATTTAGTAATCTATTCATTTACTCATGTGCTTCTGAATGTTGGACAATTTTCTGTGAACATTTGTGCATAAGGATGGAACAGCTGTATCATAAGGTGAATATTTGCTTAATTTTAAAGAAATAGACAAGCCATTTTCCAAAGTGGATTACTATATCCCCACCAGCAGTATATGAGAATTTCAGTTTCTTCAATCTTAGCTGACAGTACAGTCAGCCTTTTAAACTGTAGCTACTCTAATGTGTGGATGGTAGTGCTTTTCGGCAGCACACATACTAACGTGTGATAATAATCACGACTGAACTTTTCAAATGATTTTTTTAGGTTTAGATCAGTTCTTTATGTATTCATAAAAACCTGTAAGATATAGATATAAAGGCAAAATTGTATAAGTGAAAAAAAATAAATGGAAGGAGCAACTGGGCGTGGTGGCTCATGCCTGTAATCCCAGCACTCGGGAGCCTGAGGCAGGAGGATCGTTGTGAGTTCGAGCCCAGCCTGGGCTACAAAGTGAGCTCAAGACCAGCCTAACTGCATAGCGAGACCCTGTCTCAAAAAAGACAAAAAAAAAAAAAAAAAAAAAAAAAAAAAAAATGGAAGGAGCAAAATTACTGTTAGATATTCTCTAAAACATTCACTCTAGAACTAAGATTCACATGTTTAAAATGAACCTTGTGTATAGGAAAGGTAGTCTAGGAGGAAAAATTTGAAAGGTGGTGTGAAGGTTTTCTCATACCTTTCTGCCTCTCTAATATCCTCCAGCTACACTATTTTCATTGGCTCTTCAAAATGTTGCTATCTTGAAGAGTTCTCTTTTAAAGCCAAGTGTTACTGGGAAAGGAACACACTAATCTCAGTTATTTCCTACCACTGGACAAGCTCAGGCCTCGCCAGCCAGGTGTTACAGGAATGGAATGCAGAGTCCACAGGGAGCAGAGGTATCAGGAGCCTGGCTGGGGGTGGGGTTGGGGGAGGTGTGTGTACAGGTTACTGATGCAGCTCTCTCCTGTCACCCCTCCTACAAAACAGGACTTCACATTACTCAAAAAGAGCACACGGATGTGCACTGCCCATGTTGTGTCTGGAAAAACACAGGCCTACCACAGACACTAGGCTTTTTGAATGTCCTGCAGATGTATACCAAGCAGGAGCCCGGATAATGTATCTTTCCTAAAAATGGGTAAATATCTTTGATTCCTCAGAGGATGTCTTTTCCAGATTGCAACTAAATTATTTTGCTATTTTCTAGTTGGCTCATATTTAATCTCAAGAATTACAGACATTCAGATTTAGGAATTCTAATAAAATTTAGGAGATAAATAAATGAAAGACTAATAAGAAATTGGATAATGTTACAATCACCTGTATTAAATAAAAATAGTCCATTGATCAGCAGAATAAAAGCAGATGTGAATAAAGGATATTTAAAAACAACAGACTTCATTTTTCTGAAAAGAGCCACCAGGTAGTGATTCTGTGATGACTCCTGAAATGCGATGATCATACAGAACCTCAGCTTGGAAGGAATGTGTGGAGTTGACAATGTTTCTCCTAGTTGCTGGATCTCCCCAGGTTTCATGCACAAGCCCGCACATAGGCATTGATTTTTTTGTTTGTTTTCCTTTAGAAGCAATTATAGTTTTTGCTACTGGTACTCAAAATTAAATGTGGGGACTCTTGCTTTACACCTGGATCATCTTGATCAAGTCACCAAAGATTTCTATACCTAAGTCTAAACAGCTGCAAAAATGGGCTAACAATTGTGCACACATCATAGGGTTGGGAGATTAGATTTTTTTACAGTACATAAAGCACTTAGAACACTGCCTGGCATATAGTGAACTTCATGTAAATATTATTTATGATTACTATTAAGGAGGTGGAGTGCTAAAAATTTTACCTGTCTAAAGAAATCACAAGAAATACAAAGGAATGGATGGTTGAATAGCTAAACTATTTGATAATATTTAACTATTTCCTGTCTTTAAATTAATCTTAACCATTAGTTTTGAGTCAGAAAATTCTTTAATAATTTTCAGTTATGTTTTAGTTTCTAACTATGTTGGTCTTCAATTGCCATTAGCACCTATACTGTGGTTCTCAGTGCAACCTTCTGCCCATGTGCTGTGACCTTAGTGTTTCTCTTTGCTTGTGTCCTTAGCCCGCCATACCGTTGGTTGTTACAGTTAAGTAGGAGCTTTGTGTTCCTCCTGACCTCTTTATGCAATCGATTCCTGTGTTAATTAAGACACAGTCAGAGCTCCTGCAAAGTGGAAATATTTATAAGTCTTCTGTTATTTGCATTGGTGCTCCCCAACTCTAGAGCACCTGTTAAAAGTCAGAACCTCAGAAATAAGAGTGGATGAGAGCATGAATTGGGTTTTAAGAACCAGAATTTTCAAAAGAGTCTGAAATCCAGATAGATATACATAAATGCAGGGTCGAAGTAAATACTTTTATTGAGAGTTATGGGCTTCTTGTTGTCTTTCACATTAACTTAGCATTAGAATAGGACTTGAGAATTGACTAACTACTCTTAATTTCTCCTATGCACAGAAAATGTTGGTTTTCCAAATTCTCACAATGTAAAGGGCAGAAATAAAGTCTGAACCTCTGGATTACCCATACTCTTTATATCGTGTTTTTCCTTCCATTATAATTTAGTTCTGAGGTCAAGTTCACTTTTTTTTTTTTTTGGTCTTTTTGAGATAGGGTCTGTTATGCAGTTCAAGCTGCCTTGAGATCATTTTGTAGCCCAGGCTGATCTCAAACTTGCAAGGATCCTCCTGTCTCAGCCTCCTGAGTGCTGGGAGTACAGGTGTACACCACCACAGCCAGTAACTTCATTATTCTTAACATAAAATATTTTCAAAAAATTTTACAAATATTATTATTATTATTTTTCCCTTTGAGGAGTAGGAATAACCCTATCAAATAACAAGCTGAACCACTCAGATATACTGATCTTGGGGGTGAGCTGAGCTAAAATTCACATGCTTGAATTTCTTTCTTAAATGAATAATTATGTATAAGAAAGCAACATGATTATTGCAGTTATCATTATGTTCATCTTCATCATCATCACCAATTTTTAGCTTAGTATTAAAGTCATTGATTAATCCCAATCCTTGAAAGTGTCACCAGGTTCCTAAGACCTGTGCGAAATACAATCGCTGGTTAAATGTCACAAACACATAACAGGAAGTACTTGAATCAGAGAGCACAGGAAACAGTCTAGAGATGTAAATACACTTTTCAAGGTTAGGCTACTAAAAGTTAGCAGACAGGCTCTTGGCATATAGCTGTCTCAGTAGAGTGCTTCTCTAGCATGTGAGAGGCCCTGGGAACAATCTCCAGCACCACAAATACACACATAGAAGCAGGCACATGCGCATGCACATAAGTTTGCAAATGATCTGAGACTTTGCACCAGTTAGAAGTAGGCCTATAAGAGAAGGTTCATAGACAAGATACCATCTCACAGTTCTCTGGATTTGAATTGCAACATTACATCCCATGAAGGGAGTTTTGTCACTGGGTAAAATAAAACAAGTCAGAGTTCAGAATGGAAAAGATCTATTTTACTTCAAGCCAGTTATGGTCTGTATTTCAAGGATACAGGCCTAACTTATCCGTTATTCACAGTGGCGTAAATCACATAACTCACAGTTCTTGGAATGACCCATGTAATTCTTAGTTTTTAAAAAAATTCGATGAAAAAAATGAGCTTTCAGGGTCAAAGAATTTTTTGATTTCTTTCTCACACCAGAACAATATAAAATTTTAAGGCCCTGGGAAATTTAAATTTTGCCTAAAACAGTAAGCATATTTTAAGTACTTGTTATTATATCAAAAATAGCTTTTGCTACTGATATTACTATGGTGGGAGGAACCTGTGAACACGAGGCAAGTCAGGTCCAAGAAAGGATAATGCTACCCCATAACACCTCATTAACTTTCAATATGTTTGCTGTTTTATGTGTTCACCTATCCCTAATCTTTTGGTCCCAATGCTTTTCGAATGGTGAATTTTAGTAAACTCCCTAGAAGAACAATGCTCCCAGATGCAACCCCATTGTTTGCTTAACTGTAGCCCATAGATGACTTTTCATGACACTTGCTTTCTTGGCTCCTTTGTTTGTTCCACAGCCCCACCTTTTCCTGTTTTCCTACAAAACATACTCTGGAACACTCTGACAGTATCAGGTAAATGGTCAAGAAAATTGGCTATGGGATCAAATAACTTGTAGCTGCAGGTTTCATTAATATTCGGTCATTTCAGCAATCGTAGACAGGGAAGGTAAAGGTACTGGTGGACCACTGAAAAGCCCTTTCTACAAGAGAGGCATTGCCAAGCCCGGTGGCACATACCTGTAACCTCAGCACTCTGGGAGACTGAGGCAGGTGGATTGCAAGTTCAGTCTCAGCCTGGTCACTATAGGGTCTCAAGGAGACCCTGTCTCAAAATTAAAAGCAAAATATGTTCTGAATGTAGCTCAGTACAAAGCTCCTAGATTCAATCCCTAGTATTGAAAAATTAATTAATAAGATAGGATAGAGACTTTGGGAGGAAGGTTTGATGCTGCCTGCTTCAATATTAAAATCATAATTGATTGCATTCCTCTCTATCCTCAGGGTATCTTAGGAAGGTCTAGCTTGCTGCTTGCCTTCCTCTTACATGACATATTATATTTCTGGGTACGTGTTCCTACCTTAAGCCACAGTATGGATATGTCAATCATGTAACTTTTTGCAATTTAATTAAAATCTTTTTGTGGTTCAGAAATAATTGATGTTATTTCAAACTGAAGAATCTGGATGTATAGAAACTGGAGAGTTTACTGCAGCTAATGAAAGTCAAATGTATAAGAGTTCAAATCTAATAGAAACTATACTCGACCAGATATGGTGGTATATATCTATAGCCCTAGCTCCTTGAGCGGCTGAGGGGGGAGGATTGCTCATTCAAGGCCAACCTGGGCAAATTTGTGAGACCTTGTCTCAAAATAAAATAAAAAGGGGAAAACCAGACTTCAGCCCATTCCAGAGCACAGGCTGGGAGTCAAGAAGAGCCCATGTCTTCCTGCCTCGCCTCCCCCTGTAAGTGACCATCTGATCTGGAGAAACACAGGTTGCGATGATGGCTATTGAAGTAAAATGCAACCTAATGCTTGTAGTGTTTAGTGTTTCAATGACTTTGTAAGCTGCTAGTTTGATCATCTATTCAGAGGATAACAATATGTAATGTAGTGTCTACGGAAGATCTCCTTCTGAAGGTGGTGGCCATTTTTAATTCCCTATGATCTTGTTTTGAAGCCCTGTATCATTTTCACAGTTTTGTAGGGTTGGGTTTTATTCTGGTTTGTTTTATTTGATTTTATTATATCTGAAGGCCTGGGCAGCTATTTCAAAAATAACAATATTTTATGGTAGCCATTTTGAATTTACTATTTTCTTGTTTTGAAATCCTTTATTGAACTCATTGTTTTGGTTTTATTGGTTCTATTCTGTTCTGTTTTGTTTTTTACTCCTCTTATTTTTCTGCTTTCTGTTTTTGTTTTTCTGTTTTCATTTTTACTATGTCTGAAGGTATGGGCAGCTATTTTGAAGACAACAAGAGGTATTATGGTAAATGTTGATTTTATATTATCCTGTTTTGAAGTCCTGTGTCACATTGTTTTATTTTACTTGGCTTTAACTTCTTTAAAACAAAAATTACAAAATAAATAAATAAATAAAAAAAGGGCCAGGAATCTAGCTCAGTGGTAGAACATTTGCCTAGCATGTGTGATGCTCTGAGTTCAACCCTAATACCAGAAAAATAAAAACAGAAAAAAGAAAAGAAAAAGTAATTAAGCTTAATGTCTGTGCATAGTGAACTTTTCAAAGTGTCTGTCTTGATGATTGAACATGCACATTAAAGTGATCTTAAAACTATTTGAAATGACAATTAATGATATCAATCAACAACATGGTCATTAACAAAAAGAGTCACTGCTTTCAAGGCAGAAATCACACAAGAATGTAACAAAGACTGCCTCCATAGAGTGACAGGTATCTTAGGGCATGTCTTTACTAAGACTTCAAATGCTTCAAGAGTTTAAAGACTGGAGTGGGTAAGTTCTGAGAGGGGACACTGGAAATAATTTCACCAAGGGAATGGATCCTAAGTGAAAGCCAGGGTTTTAGAAGGGAATTTAGGGAAAGGCAATTGTGAGTTGGAGGAATGAATCATCAGTCATGATTGATGAAAAGAATAGTTAAATGGTAGATTTTAGAATCATGAGGTACAGGAAGAGATAATTAGACCTAACCTCCTGCCTAGGGAAGAAAGGTCTTATTAGCTGGCTTTGCAGAAAAAACAACTGGAGGTCAGCATGTTTGGAGAGGACAAGTGAGGTCACTAAATCCTTACTCCAGTGATTTTTCAAACTTTACTGCCTATGACGTTTAAGCATGTAAGTTTCTGGAGTCTACTAAGTCAGACTTCCTAAATAAGGTGGAGTGTGACATTTCTATTTTGTACAGGACTTTCAGATGGTCCCCCTGAGGGGACGCTTCACTCGGGAGATGAAGCTCTAGTATAAAAGGTGATCAAGGAACAACCTGTGCCATGTTAAGAATACTCCTATCAAACTGGGGGAATTTGCAACCACCAATTCAACCCTACAGAAAGTATTGCAGGATATTCTAAAAAAAGAAAAATACAAAGAACCCAGAAATAGGGGCGGGGAGGCCACAACGAATGGAGCAGAGAACAAAATGTAGAAGACAAACTGACAGCTACTGACAGAAAAAGAGCTCAACAGAAATGAGACAGAGAAGATTGGATGATAGGAACAGCTTTTTTTTTGGAGAAAATGACATCTTAATAGGTAATGCTGATTTAGTACCATCTTGTTTTGAAGTCTCATCTAGCTTTTGTTCTTCTGTCTCCAATGGTCTAAACAGGTTGTATCTTATTGGATTTTGTTATGTACGATAGTATAAGAAAAAACGTTTTAAAGACAAGGAGATTATACAGAGACCATTGTTCATTTTCTGTTAGTCGATTCTAAATACTCTATAATGCTGTCATTCTCTTAAATGGATTTACATTGTTTTGATATACTTAATGCTACAGTATATGAAGTTGTACTCAAGGACTTCAGGGAGGGAGTCAATATGGTAACTATTTTTGGGTCAGGATTATCTGGTGGTGAAACACTATTCTGCTTAAATGGATATGTTTTGATCTACCCTGTTTCGCTGTTATGCCCTCTTTTTTCTCAATCTCCACTCCATTATTTACTTTTTTATTTTTATCCATTTAATTAAAGGGAAAAATATAGCAGGATATAATATAGTAACCCACTTTGACTTTCTATTATCTCGATTTGAAGCCCTGTATTACTCTCACCATCTTGTTTTTGACTGAGGTTCCTCTATTCTGTTTTGCTGGATAGTATCAGGTTCGAAAGTTTAGGCATCAGCTGAGAAGATAATGAGATTCATTAAAACACCCATTCTCGTTGACTTTTATCTACTTTTGAAGACCTACAATATCTCCAATGTTTTGGTTTTGTCGGTTTTATTCTTTACGGTTTAGTTCAATTGTACTACAACTAATGATATAGGCAATTCTATTATAAATAGCGGGAGGCATTATGGTAACCATTGTTGATCACCTTGTATTATGTTTTTATATTATCTATTATGTCCACCCTTTTGACTTGACCGATTCTGTTCTGATATGTCACATTTGGTTTTACTCTCTTCCAAAAAAGCAGTAAGAACCGTGGGAGCAATGAAACCCAAAATGTGTAATAGACACTGTACAAAAGAGAGGAAAAGAAAGTGCTCTAAACTATATAACTGCATGTATATTTAAATGAATAAGATAGAAAATGATATCACAGAGTTTTATTGGATCATTGAACAGAACTGTTTGCAGTATCATTGTTGGAAAGTCCACTCTACAAGCTTTAATTTTGTGACTTGAACAATTATTTCTAAGATGGCAATATGTAATCCATTAACTAGTGATTTCCTACTGCGCATTTTTTTATTCTGTAAATCTGTATAACTTGTACCCCTTCACTGTTTTTTTTTTCTTTTCTTTTCTCCTTAAATAAAAATTAAAAAAAAAAAAAAAGAATACTCCTATCAAGTTTGTTCAACTCCAGACAGATGAACAAATAGCTGGTTTATCTCATCATTTGTATTCTTTATCCATTTTATTCTAGATTTTAAAGCTTCTTTCATAATGGAGGTCTGCCATCAGCAGAATTTGAGGATGTCCATTCTTAACTGAATCTAAGCCACTCACAGACAGCACTGGTGACAATGGTCCTGTGGGAGACCGGGAGCACTGGAGAGGACAGAAGCCATGAGTCAAAGGCGTGGATGTAAGCCCTACCTTTGCAATTTTTTGGTTGTGGATACTTCGATAAACCTACACTTTAGATTAAATAAGGAGGCCAGTAAGACCTTCACCAATTGTTTCATCTCACCGTGGAAGGGACCAAATAATATGGTTGAGAAGTTCCCTAAAACTATAAAGACCAACACAAGTTTTAAAATATTATCATAAGGGTTAAATTTAACATGTTATTTAATAACTATTAAGTACCTACGACAAGTAAGCCACTGTAGCAGTTATAGGGAAGTAGAATCCTCAGCCTGCTGTCAAGGGAGAAAATCCCACACATGAACTATGTATACCCTTTTCCAGTCATTGCCAGTGATCATCGTTGGGTCTCTGAGACCCATCGTTGGGTCTCAGAGAAAAGCACCACCCTCAAAAAGCAATACCCTGCCTGATTCCTCCTCTCAGGTTAAAAGCCAGGACAAGCAGCTGAAGGGATTTTTTTTTTTTTCCTCCTGTTGTGTAGCTTGAGGTGTCTGCTTTGAAAGTCCTGCTTTTTGGAAACGGGTAAGGAAAGCCTGAGTAAGACCCTAGGAAAGGAAACAGGTGGCTGGTGTACCTTACTTGGGATGAGACTCTTCTGGAAAAAATTGTCTTTTTGAAGTTTTTGCATTTCCTAGTTTATCTCATGA